TTGACACTACATAAGCCTTACCATACAAAGTTCATAAACATGTTGCAATTGTTCGTTTACCATCAACCTCTGTTTCCGGGACGCTCGCCGCAAACCAATGTAGTGTTTGTTTGTGTTTTTGTGTGTGTGTGTGTTTTTTTTCCGCGGAACCTGCCTATTTTCCCGAAGAGGAGCACAGCTTAAAAGGCAGGTGTAGAGACCTGTTTCAACGTCTAAGCTGATTTCCACTACCCTCAACCCCAAAAAAGTTCATGGGGGTATACAGCCACTGGCTGCTTAAAGGGTATATCATAGCGTTTCCCCCTCGATCCCGGTGGGGGAAGTGGAAGCCTAGTTCATTTGTGCCCAACTTCCTGCCGCGATTCGTTAGGTGCTGCAAGACATGCTGCCTGTGCAGGCCTGACCGCGCACGGTAAATCCCCAGGAATTCCTTGGGCCAAGCCCAATGAGGTTTATTTCCGTTTGCTTCAGGATATGATTTATTTCCCATCGCCTCAAAATGGGCGGCTTCCCTTCGAATTAACTGTCGAACCAGCCTAAGGGTACAGAGTCTCAAAACTGTTCAAGGGAATGTCAAGGACAACTCGCCAGTCTTCCCTTCACAGACGCCGATTTTGGACCTCTCGGACCCGTCGTTTGGGTTGGTCGGTCGGATTGCCAAAGTGCGAAGTTCGCTCGTACGGTGTCAAAACCTGGACTTGCAGTTGGGTTTGTATTTTTCAACTTGGAGGGGGTGAAGCCCTTTGAAATCTACAAAATGTTCACGTGTTTTTTGCCCTGGAAATTCACTGGAGTCGAAGTCCTTGTGCGAACCGCGGCGGATGTTTCGCAACAGAGGCCACACTGCAGCCGGGGAGCTCGGTTTGCCTTGAACGGGGGACGACCCTTTCTTCTCTAACATGGAACCCAAAAAACCGACACCAAAAAGGAGATCCCATGAGAGCAAAGGTTCTGCAGGAAAGTAGCTAGGGATTCCTCCTGGATTCATGTTGAATTGTGATATGATATGTTTTTCTTTGCCAGGATTGCGGGAAGGGCAGGGATTTGTGTCTGCCACCGTGGTACTATGGATCTAGCGGAAGCTGTTCCCCCCACCCCCCCCTACCTGTCTGTGTGTATGTGCGCGTTTTGCGTGCGGGATTGTGACAAAGAAGTAGAATCATCTTGGTGAAGGCCTATGTCCAGTTGTGGGACGAAAAGCGGCCGCTTTTCGCAAGCAAAAAGAGAGTAAGTTGATCTTTTGCGTTGTTTCTGGGACCTTTGTGATGCTTGTTGGATGATAAAGTTCACTCAATGTGGACCAGAAGCAAAGCAAACATTGAGCAAGTGATGATCCAAAGGGGCGCCTACAAGGCCTGTTAGGAATACTCCTTGGACCTCCTTCATGGTTTGCCAGTTTTGCATCCACAGTCATGGGCCGAGCAGGATCTTTTTGGGCAAGTGACGTGTTCCCCCCCCAATGGGCACCACATCCAGAATTGTTCCTTTGCTTTGCCGTTGGTTCGCAGCAGGGCAGGTGTTTTGTTCAGGTGTGTTGTTCAACGAATTGATTCTATGTTGCATTAATTTGGTCAAAACCGGAACAACCCATGAGCTCACCTATCCTTGTTTCCAGTTAGCCCTGTCGAACCGCGGCTTGCCTTATTTCCCATCCACATGAGTCATGTCCGCGCCCGTCAGGATTTGTGCTCGAGGCGGCCACATCACGCGGTGTGTTTCCGGCACTTTCCGTTTGTCTTCAGTCAAACCATCCTGCCATGCGCGAGGCGATCTGCATTCACATTGGCCAGGAGCTTTGGCGGAGAATTGAGCAGATCTTTGGCCCTTGGTTGTTTCTGTTTGTTTTTGTGCGAGTCGACCATGCAGTACAAGCATTTGCTCCCCGATACGTTTCAGAACTGTCAAATGTATTGACTGTGGTTGCCCAAAAAGGCCTTCTGTCAATTTGGAACCCATTCTCTAGGGTGGCGTGCAAATTGGCAATGCCTGCTGGGAGCTGTTCTGCTTGGAGCATGGCATCCAGCCTGATGGTCAGATGCCCTCGGACAAGACCATAGGTGGGGGCGATGACGCAGCGAGCCTGATAAGCGCAGTGTTCGTGTTGGAACGCCAACACTCACAAATGTTCATCCTGCATGGGTGAGGCATCTGCAATGTCAAGTTGTGCATATACTGCAAGTGTTGCGCTGGACCCCGTCATACAGTATAGGCCAGAGGTATTACAAAAAGAGCCCCTTTCTTATTTAAGGCGGACCCTCAACTTTAGAGCCTCCGGCTCAGTCCGCCGACATTGTCCTCTCCCTTTTCTCCTTCTTCCTCTCTTCCTTGTCTCCCTTGTGTGCTCTCCCTCCCTCTGCTCCCATCCTCCCCATCCCCCCAAGCCTCTCTCTTCCCAATCTCCCTCTCTCGTATGTATGCATGCATGTACATAAGTATGTATGTATGCATGTATGTATGTATGTATGTATGTATGTATGTAATGTATGTATGTATGTATGTATGTATGTATGTATGTATGTAATGTAAGCAAGTAAGTAAGTAAGTAAGTACCTAAGTAAGTATGTATGTACGTAATGTATTTATGTATGTATGTATGTATGAATGTAATGTAATGTATGTATGTATGTAATGTATGTATGTATGTAATGTATGTATGTATGTATGGATGGATGCATGTACGTATGTATGTATGTATGTAATGTAATGTAATGTAATGTAATGTAATGTAATGTAATGTAATGTAATGTAATGTAATGTAATGTAATGTAATGTGTATGTATGTAATGTAATGTAATGTAATGTAATGTAATGTAATGTAATGTAATGTAATGTAATGTAATGTAATGTAATGTAATGTAATGTAATGTAATGTAATGTAATGTAATGTAATGTAATGTAATGTAATGTATGTAATGTATGTATGTATGTATGTAATGTATGTATGTATGTATGTATGTATGTGTATGTATGTATGTATGTATGTATGTATGTATGTATGTATGTATGTATGTATGTATGTATGTATGTATGTATGTATGTACGTATGTATGTATGTATGTATGTATGTATGTATGTATGTATGTATGTATGTATGTATGTATGTATGTATGTATGTATGTATGTATGTATGTAATGTATGTATGTATGTATGTATGTATGTATGTAATGTATGTATGTATGTAATGTAATGTAATGTAATGTATGTATGTATGTATGTATGTATGTATGTATGTATGTATGTATGTATGTATGTAATGTATGTATGTATGTATGTATGTATGTATGTATGTATGTATGTATGTATGTATGTATGTATGTATGTATGTATGTATGTATGTATGTATGTATGTATGTATGTATGTATGTATGTATGTATGTATGTATGTATGTATGTATGTATGTATGTATGTATGTATGTATGTATGTATGTATGTATGTATGTATGTATGTATGTATGTATGTATGTATGTATGTACATGTATGTATGTATGTATGTATGTATGTATGTATGTATGTATGTATGTATGTATGTATGTATGTATGTATGTATGTATGTATGTATGTATGTATGTATGTATGTATGTATGTATGTATGTATGTATGTATGTATGTATGTATGTATGTATGTATGTATGTATGTATGTATGTATGTATGTATGTATGTATGTATGTATGTATGTATGTATGTATGTATGTATGTATGTATGTATGTATGTATGTATGTATGTATGTATGTATGTATGTATGTATGTAATGTATGTATGTAATGTAATGTATGTATGTATGTATGTATGTATGTATGTATGTATGTAATGTAATGTAATGTAATGTAATGTAATGTAATGTAATGTAATGTAATGTAATGTAATGTAATGTAATGTAATGTAATGTAATGTATGTATGTATGTATGTATGTAATGTATGTAATGTATGTATGTATGTATGTATGTATGTATGTATGTATGTATGTATGTATGTATGTATGTATGTATGTAATGTATGTATGTATGTATGTATGTATGTATGTATGTATGTATGTATGTATGTATGTATGTATGTATGGTATGTATGTATGTATGTATGTATGTATGTATGTATGTATGTATGTATGTATGCATGTATGTATGTATGTATGTATGCATGCATGTATGTATGTATGTATGTATGTATGTATGTATGTATGTGTATGTATGTATGCATGCTGCATTCATGCATGCATGTATGTATTTCCCGCAAAAAAAACACGGTTTTTCCAGCGTTTTCGCAAAGAGGACGTCCAAAAACATTGAGTTTTTCCAGATTTTCGGCAAAAGGATGCAGGAAGCCCAAGCCAGCAAAAAAGCCGGCAGGGGGAATCGAGCCTGGGACCCCTGTTTTGCGACACCGGCTCCCCGAAGACTACGTTTAGTGGAACGTCATCAAATTGCCGCGCGGTACGTGGGGGACCCCCCCCCAAAAAAAAAAAACTACGTAATAGACGTCGGGCGGGGGGGGGGTTAGGGGGGGGGGTTTATCCTCTATCCTCTAGTAAGTATCCGACACGCCGAGCAATGTCGGCGGATTTCTCATGTTTGTCACTCAGGCGAAGCCCTCAATTATTGCAGCGTGCATTCTTCGACAGATGCTTGGTCTGTAGCGCTTCACGGCTTATTGACTTGAAGGGATAGGCTTCTTCTGCAATACTCCCTGCAAAATCTATGTCCTAATTCTAGAAGAGCCAACTCTGATGCCGTTACAAGATCAGGGCCGTCAATGGTTACTGATGCGCAGCTCTCGTGCAGTTGGCTGTTCTTGCAGCTGAAGTGCACTTCATTTGCCCACGCCTCACCCCTGAATGTTGAAAGTGACTCGCGGGCTGACTGCCGCGGGTGTCAGGAGGTTGTTGGGACTTTCAAAACTACCCCGATTCAAACGCCAAAACACCGAGGAAAAATACTGAAAGATTGAACCCCCCCCTCCTTTTGTTGGATAACAAATGGCACTCCCGTCATTTTGCTATATGTAATCCTATCATTATCATCTAAAATATCTGACAATACTTCTTCTAAAGGAGAGTTAAACCGTGTTGCTACTCTTCTTAAGAAAAGTAGCAGGAAAATGTGGATCATGTTTGTCAATCCTTTGTAGTACCAGTAAGGTCCGGCAGAGCCGCCTCTCTCTCTCTCTCTCTCTCTCTCTTGGTATTGTGTGCTGCTTTCTGCTGCTCTTCTTGTCCATGTCCAAAACTTGCAGCAGCGCTTCAAGTTCAAGCCTTCCCCTCTCCCTGCCGAGAGAGCGCCTTTTCTTTCATCTGCTCTGGCGGCGCTGCAGTCTGTGCGAGCGCGCCGCCGAGAAGCTCATGAGACACCCGGCCACAAGGATGTGTTTAGTGGCTTTTGGAAGAAGTCACCGCTGGTGGGGCGAGAAATATCTTCTAACAAAAGCCATTCCTTGCGTGTTGAAATCGCCCCGGGGGCGCAATTGAGGGGAAGGCGACTCCAAACAAAACGTTAACATCAAAAGGCTAGCTGGCAAGAGGTTTGGGCTGCAGGCAGTAGCTAGCCACGGGACACTCCAAATTGGAACCGCCAGCAGCTGCCCAAACAAGCTCAATGAATGACAGCTTCATGGCTCGAAACCAGCAGAATCTTGCCGTAAGTCGTCATATGTTGTTGTTAGCGTGGCATTTCGCGCGCTTGTCCCTGTCCTGTGAAGTGTTTTGAGCGAGCTTGCAGCAGCTCCAAGTGGGCGGGAGCGAATTCGCTACACACTTCGGTCTTGCAGCCTGGCTGCGGTGGTGTCACATGTGGCCGCAACTACGACAACCGGCGTGTCAGAGAAGGCTGACTGAAGCCAGGCGTTGCTTTGC